AGCCTTGAGCATTAAGTCCAACCCTGGATGTTGGCTGAACCACAACGCTGCGAGGCCTTCAACGTGCTGTCGTTGCGGCTTTGCATCGCAACGGCCAAGAAGTCTAAGAAGACCCATTCTACGAAAGGTCACCGAGTCGACAAATCAACTTCAAAGTCGATGTCCGCGAGTAGTAACACGGACGAAGCTGACCCCAAGCCCCCCCACCCCTCCCCACCCCGAAAGACCAGTCAACGGATCGGATATATGCTGCCGGCGGGGCTAACCCCCGTTGACCCAACATGTTGCAACCTGCAAATGCACCCCGCGTCCTTACGCATGTGCGGCATCATCCTCACATAGAAAAAACCACCGGTGCATCCTGCATACCATGTCCCAAACTGCAAATGTTTCGTTGTAGAAGATCTACTGTTGCAAAGTTTGGATTCAGGAGATCTACTTCCTGATTTCTGCAAATCTGCGCAGGATGGCTGCTGCATGCTGAAGATTCCTTCGAACCTTGGCCTGAAGATTCTTTATGTGTGACTTTTTTTTGTTTGGTGGCTTTTGGGTCAAACGCTTCGCCAAGGCAAAAAGGTCTCATTGTTCTTTTCTTTTGTTTGGCATTATTTCGACCTTATTTCATGTATCCAATGCGGTTGATGGGTCGGCAAAGAATAGGTCAACAGAAATGGATGGGTTAGACTCTCTTGTCTGCTACACCCTATAGGACCTTATTGTGCCCGAACTCAGCCATATAGATCCGTCTTTGAGCTGATCTGGACGCAAACAAATTCAATTGTGGTGAAACTTGCGCCTGTATAAATGCCTAGCTGCCTGAAAGCGGATGGAGGTTCCGGGAGCATCCCAAGGATTTGGTCAATGACTATGACAGCCGCCTCTTGATGTCGAAAAAGACGACTTCTTGACGAGTCCGTCAAACGTGTTTGACCTTTCCGGACTGATTTCGCAGACTCCCCCTTTTCGCCCTGAGAACTCGGCATTGTCGATTCATCCAACGACCCAAGTTGAAGACACATTGGGAAATTGGCCTTCTTGTGGGCCGAGATGAGAAATGTCCGGACAGCTTGGTGGGTTTAAAGCACGGGTGCCGAAACTTGAATTGCCACAACGACCACCTCTGGCTGAGGTAATGCCATTGTGGGGAAGTTCCAGAAGGTCTTGCAAGACCAGCGAAAGTTGGTGATGGCATTGAAGTCTTTCTCCTTTTGGAGACTTGATTCGAAGACCAGCGGACCTTCTATGGTTTGACGGCCTGAACTGCAGGGTGGCTGATGTGAGATGTAAGCTAGCTGCACTGTGCCCTGCTCTATCCAGATTTTGTTGAGTTGGTTCTGCATGAAAGTTAACTCTGATGATCTCTGATGAATACATTATAATACATTCATGTTTGGATGCCTATGCTATGTTTGTTTTCTTTTTCTGGGGTGGTAACGGTCAAAGTATTTGTTCCACAATCTATCGCTGCCATTGGGGTGTTGAGATGAAGCAAAGTTGTTCAATGCTGAGCCTATCCACTTCCCAAACTTAAGATGATTGGGGTTTCCAGGGTTTCCGTTGACCACCTCCCCGAGCACATCACAAGAGTTTTGGCAAGCTTTTGCACTTATGGTTCTAACTCAGAGACATGTGGCACGTGCAGGCCTTTGACAGAATGAAACTGCTTCCATATTTTTTGGTCATTTGTGTTTTTGTGCTTGGGCCCATTGGTCACTGGTCTTCAAGTGCAATGAACAACAACCGGAAGTGAGGGACGGGTTTTGCACCGCCAAGTGCACATCATGAGTCGCATCATGCATACATAAGTCGCCTTGGCCCCCGTGACGGTGCTTGATATTCATTGGTTTTTGTGCTAAGGAGTGGCATTGTGATTCCGTGGATCACCATCATTGCCACCGGCTTCTACATTGCGGCGGCCGGCAAGCTGGTGACGGAAGGCCCGTGACAGTCGCAGACGTCTCGGCCCGATGCGTGCCGGGTCGGCAGAGCTGATGACAAAAATGAGAAGTTGCCGGCTCGGTTCAGTGGCACTGGAGTAAAGTTGAATAGAACATTTGGAGGACGGACTGGACACTGGTTCAGTGGCAGGTGGAAGTTGTCTAGGCTAGCTCGGTGCAGTGAATCATTGCAAACTGAGTTTGCCAACCAATCATACAGGGAATAGTAGTGCAGGGTCAGGGTAGTGTAGGAATTCACTTAGCCCCCGCAAATTGTTCATGTCGCAAATGTACTGGCAAGCAAGCCAGAGTCACAGCCAAGAAGCTCCATGATCTCAAATTTAGCATTATATAAGAGGAGCACACGAACGCAAACAGCGTCAAGCACCCAGACTCCCCACATCACTGCGTCAGCGCGTGCTGCTTTTGAAAGGAAAGAGCCCCTGCACCCCAAATTCAATGATGCAATGGGTTGTAGATTCTACCTTTTTCCGTTGAGAGATGTTTCTTCAAGTCAATGTTAAGACGAGGGAACCCTTACACTCGGATCATGTCATTCTCCGAGTGGGTCGTTTCCAACACTTTCCACTTGAGTCGTATGTCTCCTCAAGAGTCCGAATGCAGGTGAGCTCTCATTGGGCTCTTTCCTGGCCACAATCAATCTGTACAAAGTGACCTGGCAGATGTCGAAGTTGAGGGAGATCCAGAATCCAGAATAAGTCGTTTGATAGGGAAGCTGATTCATTTCGCTTAGGAGCTTTGCCAGTTCCCACCAGCGCCACAAGCTTTTGAATGTTTTTGTTTGGCAGGTGTGCTCCCGCCTCCCGTCCGGACAGGTTGACCTCCCTCAGTTCTTGAAATCTGTTGTTGATGGCCTGGTGAGAAGCATTCTGCATCCCACTTCCACCACTAATTAATGTTCTTTTCTTCCTGTTGAGTGCTGCTGTGGATGTGGTTTCTTTGTGTTCATGGCTCCAGTATTGCTGATGCATGTTGATGTGTCAGGTTGTGATACACTGTTTTGACCCATGTTCTCACTCTGTTTTCGCTTGACATGCGCATATTTACAAGGAGACCTCACGTCAACAAGATCCTTGTGACGTGCGGTTTTTCCGGGGGTTCGCATCGGTTTCGTCTCCCGGCCCATTTCAGTCGATGGGGAACTAGGTGAACCGAACTGAGCTGACCGCAGAACATGAAAAGAATGGACTATACTATACACCATGAATGGTCAACCGCCCCCAGGGTACAGGCTCCGGGTTCCGGGCGCCATGACGCGAACAACGATGCCAAGTTCGAGACGTCTGCGGGTGCCACGGTGTTTAGTAGTTCGTTCGGGGATAACACCATCCCAGCTTCCGTTTCTGAGGACTTGGGTGACCGCTTCTTAGGGCACCTGGGCCTGTCA